GGAGACCTGGGCCGGGGCCTGGGCCTGGGGGACGGAGCCTGGAAGGGGCTGGCTCTTGGCCCGGCCTGGGGGCTGCGCCCGGCAGTACAGCTGTTTGCGGAGCTGAGACGTATTGAACAACTCCACAGCCCAGAGGATGCTGCACCCCAGCCATGGGCACAGCCATGTGTCACAACATGGCCCCCCCGTGAACAACTCCACAGCCCAGAGGATGCTGCACCCCAGCCATGGGCACAGCCATGTGTCACAACATGGCCCCCCCGCCGGTTAGGAGCGCGGGGTCACTGGGGGTAACACGCTCCCCCAGGGTGCCCCCTGGAGCTGGGTGCCCTGAGCCGCCCACTGGTCTCCTCCTCACAGCACTGCTGTGACAAGCTGCCCAATGCTCCCGCTTCACCAGCCACAGACAGATAGGGACACGTTCCAGGCCGTCTGGCCTGCGCCCCTCTGGCCTACACCCCCAGTGACACCGTCTTGCGCTGCGCAGCCTAAGCTCCCAACCTGCCCCTCCCTCAGCGTGGAGAACATGCAATCGCCTTCTCGCCCCAAGGGAGGACCCCTCCCTGCTCCAAGCAAGTGTAGTCTCTGCAGACCAGAGACCTTAGCGAACAGGTCAAAGCAGCCACCCCCAACGCACGTGGAAGGCAACACGCTCCAGAGAGAGGCTGGGACCCTGCTCTTCCCTCCCACGGGCTGATCCAGCGAGCTGCAGAGAAAGGAGCAAGGAGCACTTTGCAAGCCCCAGGGGTTTCACAGGCTAGAAATTCCTTTAGCCTGGGTCCAGCACTTCCCCTAGTTCAGTCTTTGTTCCTCAGGTGTTTCCAGGAGTCTTTGTGAAGACCACCAGATGTCACTTCCTGCTGTAGCGGGGTCGACTCACCATCGCGGCACCTCCTGCTGGTCTCCTTGGGAATTAGTACTTCCAGCCCTGGAGCGCCCCCTGTTGACCGGTGTCTCACCCTCAGTTACCTGTCTTCTCCGCTACTTCAGGCCCTGTGTCCCTTCCAGCCCATGGTGCCCTTTCCTCATGGTACTGTCCCACAGCAGTGCCCCACACTGTGGGGTCCTCCCCTCCTATCCCAGACATCGCCACACCCCCATACTCCCTCTGCTTCAGTGACCCACTGCCAGTTGTCCTCTAGCCTCTGCTCAGGGACAAACTGCCAGCTGAAATGGCCTCTCATCATTGGCAAGGGGGGTGGACCTGCTTCCTTCTCCTGCCCTGACTGCCTCCTTGCAGCCGTAGTACCCTCAGGCCTTGCCTCAGGCCCTGCAGCCTGGGCATTTGCCTAGCCAGAGCTCTCCAGCTTCTGCATATGGTGGGAACCCCCTTTGTTCCCGAAGTTTGGTTCCCAGAGCAGTCTAGGAAAATACTGACACCCTGCGATGGAGTCTAGATGGGGCGTGCAACCTTTTTGGCTTGAGGGCCACCTCTTGGTATGGAAATTGTATGGAGGGTCATGACCAGCGTTTCCTCTAAGCTGCGTGCCTCCGTGGCCGCGCACTACAAATGTTAGGTCCACCCATGTCATTTTAAGAGCCGCGCAGGAGCACTCACTGCTCCCCTTCCTGCTGGAACGGGGGGTGAGTGGTGGGGGTGGCGGCAGCTGGCGGGCTGGTGGGTTCCTGGCAGTGGTCAGCTGCCCTTTTGCTCCACCTCGTGCCAGCACACGTGAGGGGCCTTGTGTGGCTGCTGCTTTACTCCAGCTGGAGCCAAGGCTGCCCGTGGAGACCGGGACTGTGGTACTGAAAATAGCACCACGGGCAGCCTCTGCTCCAGTCCCGGCACGCAATGCCCCCAGGAGCAGCTGGGGCCCGGACCGCGGTACTAAAAATAGTGTCACAGCCCCAGCCCCACAAACTGCTTCCCACGTCAAAGACAGAAAGTGAGGGAAGGTGTCAGTGGAGGTGCAAGGGAAAGGGGAGGGGCAGAGGGGAAGGGCAGTGGGGGCAAGAGAGAGAAAGAGAAGAGGGGAGCAGTGGGTGACTGGAGAAGGGGTGGGCATGAGGAAAGCAGTTGTGTGTGAGGGTGGAGAGGGGCGTGAGGCGAACTGGGGCAGAGGGTGGTGAGGGGGTGGGCAGCAGGGAGGAAGAGGGCACGGGGGGCAGGTGTCAGGAGGGAAGGAGGAGGCATCAGGTGGTGCAGGTGCCAGGGGATTGTGGGGGTGAAGCAGACGGGCAGATACGTGGAGGGGAGGGACAGGCAGCAGAGGGGAGAGGCAGGGCAGGTGGGTAGAGGGAGGTGCTAGGAGAGAGGAAAGGGAGGGGGCTTGAGGAGGGGTGGGCACAGGGGGAAAGGGCAGGTGCAGAAGTCAGAGAGGGGGCAGGTCCCAGGAGGGCTAAGTGGAGTGAGAAAGGCAGCAGAGGAGGGTGAGGGGCAGCAGCAGCAGGCGGCACCTGGGGAACAGATGAGGCAAGGGGAAGGTGGAAGACAAGGCAGCAGAGGGAAAAGAGGAGAGGTTTATAACTTGGGTGCCACAGTGGCACACGTCCAAACAAGCACACAAGACCTTAATATTGGTGCACAAGACAAAACTCACTCATGGATGGAAAATCTTAAGAGGGAACAACCCCTGAGGCAGTGTCCATAATAGCATTAGAGAGAAGCTATCTGGTTCTATACCTGAAGTTGTGAAACTATTCCAAAAGCATTTTACTAGTCACCTTGAAACCACTAATTTACAATCTTGCACTAGCATGATTAGTGCTTTACTGTTTTCAATTAGTTGCCCTCCTATTATTACAAAAGTGGATTTGGGAAACTGAAATGAATCTCAACGCCCATGAAACGTATCCCACTAATTAAAACACATTCATAGGTCGAGCATATGTCATAGTAGCTTCAGCGCACCAACAGCACATTCACTATGCTCTGCAACAGGTGGCATCTTCTCCGAGGCTAAGGCAACGCCCTGCTGGGGGGTGCGCACCCCCTGTCGAGGGGCCCGCGGGCGCCACTGCTCACCCCAGGGCAGCAGAGCCTAATGGCCAGTCCCAAGGGGCCAGTCACTAGATGGGGTGGGACCCCAGTAGGCGGGCTGGTCCCTTCTGGAGCTCCTGCCACGAGTCCTCCCTCTCCAGTGGCCAGTCCAGATTGAGCTGGGCTTGGCTCCCTTTTCTCCTAGCCCAGCACTTGGAGCATGGCCAGTCCGGCTGGGCGGGGGGGCTTCCTCTGCCCGGGGGTGCGAGCCCCTTCCGGCCCAGTGCCATGCCCAGCTGTAAGCGCGCAAGGCGGGGTGCCAGGTGTCCGTGTTGGCCCGGACAGTCGGGTAACCCCCCGGAAATACCGGACGTGGAAACCGTCCGCTTGCTTTCTGGGACGGAAGGCTGCTTGTGTCTGGCGGGGGGAGGGGGATTTTAAGGCGCAGCAACTTCTCTCTTTGGTGCGCTTGTTTTGGGTTTTGCTCAACGAATGTTTTTCCTGCCATGTTTGGTATTTTTGGTGAAAGTCTCTGCCAGCCCTACGCACAGGGGGGGCTAGTGAGCACATTCGCGCTCCCCAAACGAACCCCAAGCCCCTTGGCCCTGCACCTCGCTTGGTAGCCATTTGTCCCTGGGCCGGGCACTGGACGGTGGCCGAGTCTGCTCCAGATCAGCCGTCTGTGGGCTGCGCTCCAGCACTTGCTGTTTCACCTTGGCTCTCTGGCTCCGCTCATCTCCTGGGGGCCTGGGCCTCTGCTCTTCTTCAGCCCTGGGCCTGATGGCACCGGGGCTTCCTCCCTTGTCTGCTAGCAGCCTAGGCATCCCCGCTCTCAAGGGAGCAGCGAGTCCTGTCAGAATCAGGCCTCCTTCCCGGAGCAAAGGGGCCTTGCAAAGCGAGACAACGCGAATAAGCCGCTTCCTGCTCTGCGGACACGGCTCCTCGCAAACCCCCGACTCTCCTGGCCACCGCCTCAGGGTCCCACGCTCGGCCCATCACCCTCACAGCAATCGGCAGTGCTAGGCCTGTGCACCTGCCCACGGGCGCGTGATCGCCCGTCCCCTCACTGGCTTCTCAGGAAGGGGAGAGACGCTTCGCTTCAGGCCGATGGTTTTTCCTAGTTACCCTGAGTCGGCCCTTCCCACCCCAGCTCCCTGGACTTGTCTAGAGGGCGTTCCCCGGGTCACCCCCCGATTGGAGGCGATCAGGCAGGTACACAAATGGGAGAAGCAGGTGCAGCAGCTCGTCCCTTTCCCAGTGGTGCCTTGCAGAAACTGCTCAAGTGAACACTGAACCGTAGGGCCAGCCTGGCGGCTCCCCTCCCCCCAGGCTCCCGCCCACCCCC